TTCTTTTTTTTTTTTTTTTTTTTTGTTTGTCACTTATGTAAGTCCTACCTCGAGTTCCTGTAACTCTCCATTATCGGCCCGAAAAAGTAAGATATGGATTTAGAAAGCTTTAGAGATCCGTATGAAATAATGGATGATGGGCAACGCTGTGTCGAGTCCAATAAAACTTGATTTACTATCATTGTAAAATTGCAGGCCTTCTGATTTCGTGTCCATATCGAGTCTCTGTCTTAATCAGTGGCTCCCAACCTTTATTGTCCCGAAGCCAAAAGTGCACCCAATTACTTCAAATTGCCTCCATCCCTTGTTTGGCGTTTGGAATGACGATATACACGATACAAAGGATACTTCGTCTATGACGCAGCACACTGTGGAAGAAGATTATCTTCCTTGGAATGATTGATATTGAAATAATTTCTATAAACAGAATGAAAGAATTAATTATGTTGTCCGTTTGAATATGTCAAATGAGCACCTTACCAAAAAAAAAATAAATACATTTAAATGCGTTTATTTATTATCATTCTCTTATCATGATATTATCACGGCGTTGCATTATGTGAACTTGCCTGGTCGCTTGTTTAGTCGACATTCGTCTCATTATCACATCGTGATCTTCCCATCTCAAAGGTTCTCAACCGATACTTTAAAGGAGACAACCGTTAGAAGACATCTTTTTCATTGTTATTTCATAGGCTAGTAAATTAAGTATTGTATACACAACACAGTAGTGCCTTCCTTCCTATTCCATTGCTATTTTGAAATGTCACGATTCTCATTGTCACATATTTCTTGTGACATTGTGAAAACTTGAAAATCTTTTTATCCGTTATCTTTCCCAAAATAGTTACTATAAATACATGCCAAAATATGTAATATATTCCAAAGAAACCTCTTCGTGCCTTCATTTGGTTTGTTTTTTTGTTCTCAAGAAAATATTATTTTTTTATGAAAAGCGACATTCTCATTTTTTTTAAGCCACCAATGAATGCCAAGGTAATGACAATTGATTACCAGCCCATGCTTGAACATGCAATTATAAATGTTTATGTTGTATTTAATTTATACATATTGGTATTGCAGTTAATTTGTCCAAATTTGTCATTTGTTCGTACATTTTAAAGATTTCATTTTTTATTTTGTTGGGTAAAATTTAATGGTAACATGAATTACTTCCCTTGTGGGTGTTCGAACACTGCAGTCATGTGGTGGGAGTACTGCAGTCATGTGGTGGGAGTACTGCAGCCATGTGGTGGGAGCACTGCAGCCATTTGGTGGGAGCACTGCAGCCATGTGGTGGGAGCACTGCAGCCATGTGGTGGGAGCACTGCAGCCATGTGGGGGAGTTTCGACTCCATTTAATGACTTTGTTTTATTGACTTTGCCTCCAACTGTGCTTTGTACATATCGACTCCAGCGTTCGAATATGGTCTTATTCTGTTCTATAACACATAGTTCAGGTAACTCCTCATTCCTCTCCTGGGTCATATTATAATATATTTCTTTTGTTCATCTGTAAATATTTGTCAAATAGTTTTTTTCCCCTTTTTTAAATATATTTTATTTTTAAACCCAAGTTTTGATCCAACATATAGAAGCGATATTTAAAAATGCTGAGTCCAGAATGCTGAGTGAGACGTTTTACGATGTTTATATTTAGATATATTAATATACTTTATTACTGAAACAGTTCTTTTTTTTTTTTTCGTTTTCATTTAAATCTCTTATTTCGGATGCCCAAGATTTAGATTGTTAAGGATTTTCCTACTAATTAATTAAGGACAGGTCTGTTAAACATATTTTAGTACAAAATTTAATTTCTTATGTTAATCTTTTCTTTTAGAGATTTATTACAGACGTGCGGGGGTGTGTGCATTACGTAATTTGATGCGTATGTCGGTACATTATGTTGAGTCATGAAACACTTATTTTGTATTATGACAAGAAAACGAAACATGACTTTGAGTTAGCTCCACCTCCAGTGAGTCTCCCGTAATTTAATATGTATTTATTACCACGATGTTATTATACTTTCTGTTTTTCCTTCTGCATCTCATGATGTAATCTTTGCAAATAGAGGTTAATTTTTATTTGAGATTGTAACGGCAGGCTGATAAAATATATTGAAATAAAATTTACACTTATACCGGCAGGATTCTATAATATATTCTTGACTAAAATACTTCAATATTAGCAATTTTTAAAATCACAACTCTATATCAGTATTTAAAAAATAAATAAGCAAGTCCTTAACTATTAATCTCTGTCCATTACTCATTAAACTACTTGCAATTTCTGCCTCTTGCAACCAGGGAGGCATCTAAACCTTTCGGGGATCCCTGGGCTTGGCTTTTTACGGGATTTAAGTAGACTGGATTTTGAGAGTATAAAATCATTTAAGTATCTATTAAATTGCAGAACGAAGTCAAGGGCGAGGAACTGAACAATTTCTTGATTGTAGAATGTGTGTGCATGGGTTGTCTAAATTGTTTTATGAACGGAATAAATATTTCTTTGTTTTTCTAAAATATGTGGGATGTTGTTTTGAAATTTGTTTACATAAACTACTAAATAGGAAATAATGACTTAATGGTATAAGGGAATAAAATAGCAAAACGAGGTATGTGTGAAGCTTGAATAAGATAACAGGACAAAAAACAAGGACGTTTCGGCATAAAGCCTTCCTCAGCCAACAGTAGAAATGAAAATATAACAAAGCACAGTAGACAACTCAAGAAGTATCTCTCTGGTAACTCTAGCCACATAGGGAGCTCTCTGTATGTTGTACTTGTAAATCAAATGTTTAACAATTTAAAATTAACCAAGCATCTGTGAATGCCACCAATCAGGATACCATTGATGATCTATCGGCGAATTGTTCAGCGTGGCTGATAGATGGTATCGAATAATCAAATATTATTTTTAATGATATTTACTTGCTTACAACTGTCTGTTTCCAATCATTGCCACCTTTAGATCTGTGTTACGCTATCACAACACTACCCACGAGCTGCTGTGCTAAACAAACGTAGCAGCCAGTCCCCACCCACCCCCTCCCTATAAAATGAAGCACCCATTAGACGTCTACGTCTCAGCTCATTAACGTCATTGGACGTCCACATCTCAGCTCATCAACGTCACTAGATGTCCACATCTCAGCTCATTAACTTCATTAGACGTCCACTTCTCAGCTCATTAACCTCATTAGACGTCTACATCTCTGCCAATTAACGTTGTTACGTACTGTTATCAGTATTGAGCAATTGATCTCTTATTTATTTTATCTCAAAAAGTACACATCAAAAGACGATACCATAAGTTAAATACAATAAAAAAATTACGATACTCAAATCAGGGATAATTACATTTAATACATTTTACTATGTTAATTATAAATTACATAATCAAAAAGAAATATAATTAAAGCTATTTACTTACAAGTATAATGATTGGCTTGTACCGGTACAATGTAGAAAAATATACACTTTTTTAAAAAGGAGCTATAATGAAAAGGAATCTACACACACACAGTAAACACATCTCTGTCTCGTAGCAAAGCTCTATAGCAAAAAATAGAACACGCTCATAATATCTCAAGTCTGATCTTCTTGCCGCTCAATCTATTTAGGCGTATATATAGCCTGTTTCGTAGATACTTCTCGAACGGACTTATACACTGTATTCCTTTCTCGATATTTCTACATAATACAGAATTATAATAATAATACAGACCATAGATTTTAGTTAGTTGTAACCAAGGTTCAAGAGAGACTATATTTATTTATCCACAGCCTAAATGTGGAACTGAACTTTGGGTCACCTAGAGTTCATTCGCCACAAAAATGAATGAAAGTAAATGAGACGCCACAAACAACGTCATTAGATGACCACATCTCAGCTCATTAACGTCATTAGACGTCCATATCTCAGCTGATTAACATCCTAGGATCTTGTATTTTTAATGGTGAGTTATTTTGTTGCTTCGGTGACAATTTTGTAAGACATAGGTTTTAGCTGCATCCTGTGTTGTAAGGCATTGGTCTTTGAAGTCAGAAAAATTCCTTGTCAGACAAAAGCCTCTGTCAGACAAAAGTCTCTTTCACACAAAAGTCTCTGTCAGACATAAGTCTCTGTCGCAGATATAAATAAAAAACTAACCAGCCCCTCGTTTCGGTGACTTACAGCAAAGAAAGCTAGCTAGAAAGTCATGTTATAAGAATCATTATTCCTACAGAAGTCTGGTGAAAGACGTCAGTGAGACGATCTATAAGTCCTGGGTTGAGAAAGAAAAGCTCTATGAACTCGGTGGCAGGTCATGCGTGACTACCGGCAGGCATGGAAAAGAACGATAGTTTGAATAAACCATAGAGAAATTTTTGGACTTTGCTTTGGATTGTCTCGTGGGGGTCTCTCTTGGTGTCACGGGGGGTGTCCTCTTCCTAAACACAGCCGCGAAAATCTCACATTAGACAGGGAAATAGTTTAAAGACATTGTTGATTTTTAAATTATAATTTAATACAAATGGAAATGTTACCTGCTGCCAGGTAAAAGTATCAAAGGATACAAACGGTGTGATAGCCAATCAGATGGAGCGTTGTCCTGACAGAGCTTTTGCAGCGTTTGAGGACACCTGATCTAAATTATTGTGTATTGATCGTATATAGTTTAAGTGTCGGTGAATAAGACGCCCTAGAGTGGTGAATAAAAAAATGTTTTTTTTTGAGCGGTAAATATTGGTGGGTTTTTTATGAAAGGTTCTTTTTTTCTTCGGTTTTTTTTTTTTTTTTTTTTTGGTGGTGGGGGGGGGCGGGCGGGGGGTGGAGATTTATCGATTTTTAATATGAATAGGACACGGGCTTATCGCTCATGTGAAATAATATCTAAATTGAGTCAATTACTCTCAAATGGTGGAAATAAAATTCACATTTAAAAGCCATTATAAGTTTAATGTTGATCTATGGATTACGATGGTACTCGATGAATGACGCGGTCGTTGGAGTGTGTTTGCTGTCATCCAGCGTGTGACAAAGTCACAACAGATAGTGTTGATTAAACACCTCATAACAACAAATTCTTTATAAAATGTACCATGGAACAATGTGGGATATGGCTGAAAATTCGACAAACCATGAACACAAGTAACGTACTTGACAAGCGTCCCAATTAGTGCCACCCCTCCCCACAAACCACTCGGAAAAGCACATTTTTTTCACGCCCCTGATGAGATTTAAAAAAAAAAAAAAAAAAAAAAATCCCATTTTTCATTTTGTGCAGTTATCGGGAATTTTCCTTCATGTTCCCATTGAATAACTGAGCAAAAATTGATTTTTTTTTTTGGGGGGGGGGGGAGGGTTGGGTTGTGAGGCTGAAAATTTGAAAGAATGTGTTGTCATCTGCAACGGGTCCATGTTCCAAGTTTCAGCTCGATAGCTTGACGGGAAGTGCGTCAGTTAGCTGTCAGAAGATATTTGCATGACAACCAGCCAGCCAGCCAGCCACCCAGCCAGCCAGCCATATGCAAACAGAAGCTAATTTAATAGAAAGGGTTTGTATAATAGAAAGGCCTACATATTTATTAAAGACTCGGTGTTGATATACAGGCAACGAGACCATCGACGCGATCCATAAAATGGATGGGCATCTGATGGGAATTTGAAATTAAGGACGCGCCCCATTAACAAAAGTTATTTAAAATGTATTAGAGGACAGCAATAGAGCTGTTTTACACAATGGATAAACTAAACTACATGATAACATCACAACTGCCCCTAAATCTTATAACGTTAAGGTTCTTTATTTGACATTACCAAATACACCATATCAAATTTTTATGACGAAAAAATTCATAGTTTTTAGCAATTCGCCGTGATTTTTTTTTTAAAACTTAGTTTTAAAGGGACGTTACATATTTCACATAAGAGGTATTATCGATTTCTAAGATAAATTAATTTAAAATTTCATAAATCGTGCAGTCCCTCGCGATCGGGCATTTTATCGAAATTGAAGTCAATACATTATTCAACCTAGGGATATTTTTTTGTCGACTCCTATTACGCTCACATACTACGACTCCGACTGGACAACTTCGACTCCGGATCACTGATCTAAGCTGCGATCACGAGCAGATCCGTGTCGGTGGCACTTTTTGCCAGTTTACAGCTGACACCTCAAACACCCCCCCCCCCCCCTTTTTTTTTTTCCTTTCCCATTTTTTCGTTGGACTTGAATCAGTGTAAGTAAGCAGCACAAAATGAATAGACCGTAAACGTTTGCGGCAATCGATCACAGACTGTGTGGGGAGACGTTTAGGCGGGCTCCGAGTTCATTCCGTTTTGTACCGAGATAGTTGGTGTTATCACTGGTCGGCTCGTTCATTTTCTTTTGTTGTCTGGACTAGGCAGGTAAGATAAGACCTGTGTAGCTTGGACCTGGTCTCGTCTGACATGTTCTCTGGACCAGGTCCCGTGTGTCATTTTGTCATGTCTGCACCAGGTCCTATGAGTCTTATTGTCTGGACCAGGTTCTGTGTGTCTTATTGTCTGGACCAGGTCATATGTGTCTTATTGTCTGGACCAGGTCCTGTTTGTCATATTTTCTGGACCAGGTCCTGTGTGACTTATTGTCTGGACCCGGTCCTGTGTGTCATATTGTCTTGAACTGGTCCTGTGTGTCTTATTGTCGGGACCAGGTACTAGATGTCTTATTATCTGGACCAGGTCCTATGTGTCTTATTGTCTGGACCAGGTCATGTGTGTCTTATTGTCTGGATCAGGTCTTGTGTGTCATATTGTCTGGATCAGGTCCTATATGTCTTATTGTGTGGACCAGGTCCTGTGTGTCATATTGTCTGGACCAGGTCCTATGTGTCTTATTGTCTGGACCAGGTCCTATGTGTCTTATTTTCTGGACCAGGTCCTGTGTGTCATATTGTCTGGACCAGGACATGTAGTTCATGTTGCCTTGACTAGTTCAGTTGTCTCATGTTGTCTGGACCAGGACATGTAGTTCATGTTGTTTTGACTAGGTCCTATGTCTCAAGTTGTCTGGACTATCTCTTATGTGTTTTGATGTAGACTGGACTAGGTCCTGTTAGTCATGTTATCTGGATCTTGTCTCGTGTGTCATGGCTACCAGGCATGTCCTTGTCCCGTAAATCGTGTTGTCTTCATCATTTAGATGATACATGACACAGCTTTCTTACTTTTGTGCTTTGTGGCTATGTTAGCAGAGTATATATCCCTTTCACAGTCCTGATCAAATCATTGTGCCTTGAATTTTACTATTATTTCAGATTACACCTTTGTTAATGCTAAAAAACCAACTGAACATTTCTAGCCTGTGATTATAATATAATCATTGAGATTAAAGTAATACATTATTTATAATTTTTTTTTTTACGATTCGAATCAAATATCAGAGGTGAATCATCGCAGAGGGAACTAAGGTAAAAGTCAAGAAGATCTCTCAGCCCACGACATCGGTACGTTGCTATGGCAACCAAAACTTCGTAAGTGTTTATTTTTTTTCTCAGGGTGATAAGGTTATTATTTAATTTGTGTGGTGTGGCACACATACTTGGCATGTCGAAAAATAATAGTTACATTCATAATATGTGACTAGCGCCGTCAGCAAATAGCGATCTTTATATATTGTATGTGACTAGCGCCTTCAGCAATAGCGATCTTTATATATTGTATGTGACTAGCGCCTTCAGCAAATAGCGATCTTTATATATTGTATGTGACTAGCGCCTTCAGCAAATAGCGATCTTCAAATATTGTATATGACTTCAAAAAAAGATTTCATAATTATATCTGACTGGTGCCTTCAAAAGTAAGATTTCATATATAAATGTGACCAGTGCATTATCCTAATTATACGAGACTAGTACCTTCAGAAATGACAATGTTTATGGGAAAACTGGCATCTAACTCTAGCAAATCGAGTTTTCGTTCCTCCTGGATTATTATTATACTTCTGATTGCAACCAAATCAATTACCGCTTCTCCGATTCTAGCCAATAATGTCTGACCCTGCATCCAATCATCCTCGTAATTGACCTACGCCTAAGCAATGGAACAAGATCCGATGACATTCTTCTATATCCTGACATAGTTTATTTTATATTCCAAACACGTTTCTAAAGTCAAACGTTTAACAGAGAGAAAACACGAACATGTATTTTATAATTCCTCCTTGAAAGTTGACTCAACCAGTTTGAAGTGACCATTTTTATCGAAAATCAAAGGCCCGATTTTGTTGCACACTTTCCACAAGCTGATCAAATCTGAACTTTTCAATGTCTCAGCATGACGTCCTGGGCTGGACACGATCCCTTACAGAAGTTCGGCAACACTGACCACTGGACAAAGATGAAACTCAGGGTAGGTGAACGCTCAATTTGTTTTCCGTCATCACAAGTCGGTAGATACTTCGTCAAAGTCGGTATGTAGTAAAAGTCGCAGTAGATCGTTAGCAAGTGTCGATAGATACTTCGTCAAAGTCGGTATGTAGTAAAAGTCGCAGTAGATCGTTAGCAAGTGTCGGTAGATACTTCGTCAAAGTCGGTATGTAGTAAAAGTCGCAGTAGATCGTTAGCAAGTGTCGGTAGATACTTCGTCAAAGTCGGTATGTAGTAAAAGTCGCAGTAGATCGTTAGCAAGTGTCGGTAGATACTTCGTCAAAGTCGGTATGTAGTAAAAGTCGCAGTAGATCGTTAGCAAGTGTCGGTAGATACTTCGTCAAAGTCGGTATGTAGTAAAAGTCGCAGTAGATCGTTAGCAAGTGTCGGTAGATACTTCGTCAAAGTTGGTAGATAGTAACAATAGTCGAAAGATTGTTAGAAAAATTTGATGGATTGTTAGCAAAAGTCGGAAATTAGTTACCAAAAGTCAGTAGGTAGTTAGTAAAGGTTGGCAGATCGTGGCGAAGATGAATCTCAATATTAATTCGATATATCGAATATATATATATATATATTTACTCCTGCAGTTTGCAAGTACACCGGTCTAAATTTATCAATCGGGCAAACCTGTATAATGATTTGAATCCAACAGTTTGTATGGTATTAGAAACGTGTCCAGTACCGAAGAATATTCTTTAAGAGTAAATAAGAAAATGAAAACACATTTTTAATTTTATATTTTGTATGTTAAATAAAATATACCTTTAATATTCATATAAGAAACGACCACATCTTTTGCAATTGTTTTTGGTGACCTGTAGAAACATGAAAAATTTTGCTAAGTGTAGAAACATGACGTTTTCTTTGGTTACCCGTAGAAATATGACATTTTTGATTGACTGTCAAAACATGACATTTTTGACTGACTGTCAAAACATGCAATTTTGGGTGGCTGTCAAAACATGACATATTGGCGTAAGTAGAATGTGAATGTCCCATTTAGTCCATTTGACTAAATAAAGATGATTAGCGAAATTAGTTTTTAACGATATTTGTTTTTTTTTTAGATATTCACTATTCTTGTAAAAATAATTATGTAATATGTATATCTCACCGTTTTCCTACAACTCCTTTTACAATTCCTCGATTAGCTCCCTTTAACGTCTCTTTACTTTGCCTTGTCTTTTCAGCTTATTTAACTGTGAAATAATCGAGAGAGAATAGTAATGCCATTAAACAATCTCATGGCATGCTTCTTAATGCATTTTTTCCTAATTTATTGTATTTTTTAAAAATTGTTTGCAGGCTGAAAAACAAAGAGGCTTACAATCAGCCATCGGCCAACGATCTGGAGACAACATCAACACAGGTACGTGACGTCATGAGGGGGGCTTTTATTCAAAGTTTTGAATTCAAAAATATATAATTGAGCCCCGAGATAACGCGATCCCCATATTATTGATCATTAACTCTCGAGTTATCCACTGTATAACCTTGCAAGCAGTGTTGATTTTAAATTGTGTATTTTAAAATGATCCACGCACAAGTCTGAGCGTCTAGTACTTTACTTATCAAATGAGCCTTCAGATGTTGACCATTGTTACAAAGTATTACCCCGAAAACATTTATATTTACATGAGCGGGGTTAGTTCAAATACATTTTGGTCAAAGAATCTTGTTTAGAACGGTGTTGAACTTTGAGAAATACTAAACGAATGACCAAAACTCTTAAGCACATGTCCCACACAAACAAAAAGTACAATTTTTCTACTAATTCGCTGAGGAAGGTTCGTCGTTCCGGGGTTTGGTTGTCTCGAAGGTTCGTCGTCTCGGGGGCTGGTTGTCTCGAAGGCTCGTCGTCTCGGGGACTGGTTGTCTCGAAGGTTCGTCGTCTCGGGAGCTGGCGGTCACAACACCTATATGGAAAAAAAAACTAATTTTTAGTGGAAATGCTTAATTTTGTTTTATATCCATTTACTTGCTTTTTAGTTAAGAAAAAAACCCAAAAAAACTTGCGAGTCACTAGATTTAAATATCCGTATAATTTAGGGATGAAAAGGTCACCAATTAATTTGTTGGAATAATGTTATTAATGATTTTTAGAAAAGCAATAATTTTTTGAAATTAAATTTCTTGTTCTATTTATTGACAGAAAGTCAAGCAGATCTGTTTGGTATTTCTCCTGACCTTTTGTGTAACACCGGAAGGAGTCAAACTTTTATATCCTCCAAACCAAAGGTCAGTGGTAACGCTGTGTCAAAAAGGGAAGTGACGTCGTTCAGTACACGTGACGTTAAAACTTCACGTGGTAAAGTTGATGGATTGGATGGGTTTGGGTGGGGATGGTTAATGTTGACGGTGGACGGTCTTGTCACGGTTAGGGTCTGGTAAGGAGTTACGAGGGATGGGAGGGGGGGTTGAGGCATGGAGGAGGAGAGGTGACGGTGGAGAGTTGTAGGTGCAGTGGTGTTGGAGAGAGGTGTTCATGGAGAGGTGTTGGTGGAGAGGTGTGGTGGAGAGGTGTGGTGGAGAGGTGGCGGGGGAGACTTGTAGGTGCAGGGGTGTTGGAGAGAGGTGTTCATGGAGAGGTGTTGGTGGAGAGGTGTGGTGGAGAGGTGGCGGTTGATATTCCATCGCTTAGGATGAACTGTTACCCTGACGGAACGCTTGTTGGCTACCATCAAACGTTTGCTGTCGACCCTTGTTTAAATTTGATGCCATCTTTTACTTTTTTTTTCTTTTTGAGAGACATGCTCTGAAATCTTTCTCAATCATGCGGAATGAGTTTCGTACGTAGGAAAGTGTTAACAAAAGCATTTCAATTGATCTGTTCAATATCGAAATGTGATGAGCTATTTTAAGCTTACGTAGACCACCAGCAACAACAGCATTATTATTAATTTTTCAATTCATGCCATCAGAAAAACGCTCTGGAAAATTGCTACCACAAGAAGGCAAAAGAAGGATTCAGATACTGGGACATTTACAGACCTAAACCAACCAAATGTGAGTGTTCTGGAGATGGTTTTACTGGGTACATTCTTAGCTCCAGTGAAATAAACGGCTTTAGGATGTTCCTTTAATTTTAACGTTTAAAATAATACTTCTCGATTTCATCGTGTATACGTAAATATCCATGACGAAAGATAACATGATGGTTTCAGATGGTTTTTATTTTTTTTAAAATATACGTCAAAAATTCATGTTGTCTGGTTATTTACAGTAACTAGAAGTAGAGACGGGGAACTAAGCACCAGCTTATTAGTGTGAATGTGTAGCTGGTTTAAAAGAGTAGTTGAAATGCGCTGTCGACAGGGGAAAATTTCTTTTGTTGAAATGTATAGTTTTTCTTTGATTAAAAAAAAAACAAGTAATAGCCTAACGCACGAGAAAACGCTCTGATCAGCACATATTTAACGTTATGGCTATGTTGTATATAGTGTGTGAGGCTTGTTAAGTGATGCCGATATTTTAGCCGGCCACCAACAGCTTCTAATAAACAGAACGTTAAAAAGGGTTAACATTTATTTAGTCTACTGATTATGAAGTGTTAATTTTTTTATATTTCGAAAAAATTTGAGTCTTACAAAATTCTAATCAATAAATCTCTATGCTTATTTTTTTTTCAGTTGGTAAATACGGCATAGGCTCTTATAAAATGGTCCTGGGATTAGGAGCAGCCCCAAGAACTTGAGGACCGCTAACATCATAGGCTTCGTAACAGAGGGAAGCCCCCCCCCGCCCCCACTGTGATATGTTTTCAGTTTAGGTTGACCTAGCCGTTGACCTTTGGACGCCTTATACAACTCTTTCATATACTTTTTTATGTTTTATTGATTTCTTACCTTTCGACTTACTCTATAGCTTGTCGGCCGATTTTCGAGTGCTGAATTTTTTTAATGATCGGTGTGTGTTGAAGTCTGGGAATGAACGCGTGGAAAAGAAAGGTTGTAATTTCTTTTAGCTGTTTACCGATATTTGTATATGCAATCTTTACAGTCAGCATTAACTTGTCCATATCCTTTTATCCGTTTTTTTTTGTTTTTTTTAAAATATTTATTGAGAATAAGCAATTCCAAAGAGTGTACAGTTGGAATTAGTGGGTTGTTGTTTATAAATATTGAGATTATTGTAGACAATTGCTTTGTAGAATTATAGAATAAATGTAATTACAAGCCACAAAGAAAAAAACAAATATGCGATTGTTTTAATTTTAAAAGTAGAACATGTATGTATGTAACAACATTCGTATGGTGTCAGTTTTTGTGTTGTTTTTTTTAAAATTTGGACACATTGCTAAGCTGTTTCAAGTATAAACCATTACTCAGCTTTTTCAAGTTGAACACATTACTCAACTGTTTTAAGTTGAACCATTACTCAGCTGTTTCAAGTTGAACCATTACTCAGCTGTTTCAAGTTAAACCATTACTCAGTTGTTTCAAGTTGAACCATTACTCAGCCGTTTCAAGTTGACCACATTAGTCAGTTGTTTCAAGTTGTACACATTACTCAGTTGTTTCAAGTTGAGCATATTACTCAGTTATTTCAAGTTGTACACATTACTCAGTTGTTTCAAGTTGAACACATTAGTCAGTTGTTTTAAGTTGAGCATATTACTCAATTGTTTCAAGTTGAACACATTACTCAGTTGTTTCAAGTTGAACACATACTCAGCTGTTTCAAGTTGAACACATTATTAATTTGTTTCAGTTTAAAAACATTACTCAGTTGATTCAAATTGAACACAGCACTCAGTTGTTTCAAGTTGAATAATGAATAATGAATTCCTCAATGATGTGTTTAAAAGGCTGTGTCTGAAATTAATATTTTGTTTTTGTTTTGGGGGCATCCTTCCATTTCCATGATGTAACCCTTTCACGCTTTTTTTTTTATGGAGAATCAGCTGGTTCCCTGTCAGCGGATCTCGCGTCACCACGCAGCTGGTTAACCTAAGGGAACATTGCATGGCTACTGCAGCTTGGCACCAGGGTCGGCGCAGTTGCCGGAAGTTTCATTAAGTTAATATTATACCTCCTACGGGACTCTCGGTGCAGATGTTTCTTTTAAAGTCCCCCCCCCCCCCGTAGCCTTTAGCCCTGGGTTGGTTTCTTTTAAAGTCCCCCCCCCCGTAGCCTTTAGCCATGGGTTGGTATCTGCGAGACAGCGGAGGTTTGCAACCAAAGGTTCTTTCATTTTGACCATGGTTTGTTATCCGCAAGGCAGCGGAGGTATTGTGTGTGGCAATTTTTTTGTTAATGCAGTAATCAACATATCGTAAGCAGAGCCGTCACGTGGGCCCTCAACCCTTGATGCTGAATCGAGCCTCGGATGTATTAAGGACCCAAAAAGTGAATGAACAAAATATCAAAGTATCAACTTTGAATGCAGGGGACATAAAATTGAAAATCAGCAAGGGACCTCAAATATTAACGAGAGGAACCTGATCTATAGGAGGTCTAAAATATTGTAAGCAATTTTATTTTTTTTATTTAAAATTTAATTTTGCTTGGAAGGTCCATCCTTAGTCACAGATACTTTCATATGGGTTCAGGCTATTTTGAATTCAGTTGCTTTTGGAAATGATGCAGAAAAATATTTCAATAAACAAATGGTGACATTTTTTTTTTTTTTTTTAAATGTCAATAAGAAAATCAATAATGCATTGATTAAGAATTTGACAGAAGAACTTATTTTCAAATCAAATGAACATTTTATTTTCAAGAGAACAGTTCATACATACATGTTGGTTTGATGCAATTAGGTGCAATATTTGAGTCATCTCTTGCGGAGACGAGCCTGTTCCAGTTGCAAGAGAAAAATGAAATGGTTTCTATTGTGAGACATTGAATGCGAAAGCAGAGTTTATAAAACATTCTGCGTTCATTTTCAATCACAGAAGAATAAATGTTTATATGCCTTTTTAAAAAAATTGCGCATTTTGAAAGAGGGACAATTTCTGCGAACATGCGGTAAATGTGATTGTATTTTTTGAAATAAATACAATCACATTTACCGCATGTCGCAGAAATTGTCCCTCTTTCAAAATGCGCAATTTTCAAATTTCAAACTACATCCAACAAAAATTTCTTTAGGTTAATTTTGCTTGTCCGCTTTTTCTACTGACAAAATCTTGAGGAAATCTGAGACTTTTTTCCAACCTTGAGGACATCCCAGACTTTTTTAAAATTTTGGGACAATCTGAGATTTTTATCAATTTTGCTAAAATGTGAGACTTATTTTTAATAGGAGAAATAAGTTAACTAGGTCATGAAGTTTAATTTAAGATTAAATATGCGGTCAGATGTCCTATTAAAATTCACTGGTTCATGAGAATGCCGTCGAGTGTGGTGGGGTGAGGGGGACAAACACAACACTTTGTCTCATTAAAAACTTCTAATTGATCTCCCATGCGCAGAGTACATTTTTTTCTAGGACTAACATTTAACATTTTTGCTGTGGGATTAGAGCAGACCTGCACAACATACGGCCCGCGGGCCGCATGTGGCCCGCCAGCACCTACTTTGCGGACCGCGAAGTAACGAAATATTTTTTTTTTTTTTTTTTTAATATTTCCCCCCCCCCCCCCCACATCCTATTTTTTTTTGGCCCGCACAAGTTTTTCATAAAGTATTACGGCCCGCCTTACATTTTGAGTTGTGCAGGCATGGATTAGAGAATTAGAAACAACTTTGAACTACCCCTTTTGAGGGATGACAAAAGATGTTATTTTGTTATCACAAAGTATATAGAGGTATGAACTATTTCAATTATTTTTTTAGATATCTTATATGTATCTACCAGGAAGCCTTGCAAGAGTTTGTACAAATATTTTGATTGTGTGGGATCGGGAAGACCAACAGTTTCTTAATGTGAGTGCTTCCAGATGGGATTTATTTTGGACGTAAAACAACGCACCTAACGGGTCCTTGGTAATGGGCTGGGCCAACATACAAGAATTAAAAAATCTCCCCAGTGTTACTTAAACACAAGTCTGGACTCAAGCAACTCGGATGCTCGTACCCCTAATCATAAACATAAAAAAAAAAATGAAAGACTTATAATACAATGTCACTGGTTACAGAAGTCATGTTGGGGATATGCTTTAAGCCAATCTAAGGAATACAATCAGACTTGAGTAAATCTAAAATAACTTACAGGGGATGGGAATGATCCTTAAGTAGAGAGGACATCAAAAATGGGAGGCGCTTGTTGATTACGAATGAGAAAGAAAGACACTAGTCTCTTTATCTAAATCAAAAGGGGAGGAACTATGAAACAAAAGACACTAGTTTAGTTATCTAAATCAAAACGGGAGTTAAAATAATTGTAAAGTGACATGAGAAAAACTTTCTGTAAAGCGAAATGGCGGTTACATCTGATGTGAGACCCATTTTATTAAAATAAAGAGGCAAAGTTGTTTCTTTTAATGAGAAACGTGATTGTTGTAACTAAACATGAGAGATGTGCATAGGCTACATCACATTGTGTCATGCCTTGAACCAGCAACACATGAAGTTGATAATACTTCTATTGACGGTTACATCACTACACATCACACGCTAATGCCGATAACGAGCCATCCTAACATGATTCAGAGGAGACAACATAAACTCCTTATTATCTTATGTTCTTTCTTCTTTTATGGTGGGGGTTGACCGGGGGGGGGGGGCTAAATATATATAGAATTTGCAACGGTAAATTAAAAAAAAATATATAAACGAATTTTAATTTATTTCGGCACTTATCCAGACACCTTTACATTAATTCTGAGTGTTAGTTTCATCATAATTCATGGATCAAAAGAAGTGTTTAACACAAAACATAATATTTAAACTGCTCTGAGAGATGCAACAACTGTTTGGATTTGACTTCATATATTTAACGCATACGCGCGTCAACTGGAGAAGACACGGTCAGCAGGAAGGCATGGTCAGCAGGAAGGCATGGTCAGCAGGAAGGCACGGTCAGCAGGAAGGCACCGTCAGCAGGAAGGCACGGTCAGCAGGAAGGCACGGTCAGCAGGAAGGCACGTCCAGCAGGGAGGGCTTCTTCCGATCTGGCACGGTCAGAAGGAAGGCACGGTCAACAGGAAGGCACGGTCAGCAGGGAGGCACGTCAGCAGGAAGGCACGATCAGCAGGAAGGCACGGTCAGCAGGAAGGCACGGTCAGCAGGAAGGCACGGTCAGCAGGAAGGCATGGTTAGTGATGATCAAAGAAGTTAAATTAAGCATTGGTAGTCTCAGTGAAAGACCAGACTGATATTCATCAATGAGGTATTAGCATTACAGAAGTCGATAAACAACGCGGTCGAGGAGTCCCACTCCGTCGCAATGATGCCACAGTGAGCGTGAAAACATTGTGTTCATAAATAAAACTGAAGGATGAATAAAAAAAATCGCATGTTACAAATATTTTTCATCAAAGTTACGAAAATATGTCATTGTGACGTATACATTTCATTGTGACGTATACATTTCATTGTGACGTATACATTTCATTTTAAAGTATACATTTCAGTGTAAAGTATACATTTCAGTGTAAAGTATACAATTTCATTGTGACGTATACATTTCAGTGTAAGGTATACATTTCATTGTGACATATACATTTCATTGTGACGTACACATTTCATTGTGACGTATACATTTCATTGTGACGTATACATTTCATTTTGACGTATACATTTCATTGTGACGTATAAATTTCATTGTGACGTATACATTTCATTGTGACGTACACATTTCATTGTGATGTATACATTTCATTGTGACTTATACATTTCATTGTGACGTATGCATTTCATTGTGACGTATACATTTCATTGCGACACTTACATTACATCGTTAGGAGTTCAATGCACCACTGAGAAACAGGAAAATAAAATCCCGTATCATTTTTTTCCAATCAACGTTTTTTTAAAAGTCTTACAGACTCTTCACACCTCCTTTCCACAAGACATCGCCAGCAGACATTATCAGGAGTCCGCCTCAACCAGTGGTTCCAGCCCTTTGCAGGCGTGCAGCTCCACCCACTGCTGACAGTCTTTGCACTGGACGTAGCAGCACCAGTGGAACTTGCACTCGCACTTGTACTGCTGCTTGACCACGCGCGTGTGGTAGCCCCGCCCACAGCACATGATGTCACAGCCGTCCGTCCCCAAGGAAGACTTGTTGCACGTGCGGCCCTCGGTGCCCAGGGAACCTGTGGGGAACATCAGCGAAGATATCAGAAAACGTTGTCATCGATAAAAGGAACATTTGTCAACAATGTAGGGGGCATAAGTAACAATGTAGGGGGCATAAGTAACAATGTAGGGGGCACTGGTAGCACTCTTCGAAACAGTAGCAACACTATAAGGAACATTGTCATAAACATAAGGAAGATTGACAACAATGTAAGGGACCCCTAGCAACCTTATAGGAGGCACTGGCAACAATATAAGGAACATTACCAATTATATAAGAAACATTGACAACAATATAAGAAACATTTGCAACAATTAAAGGATAATTGACATAAATATAAGGAACATTGGCAATAATATAAGGAACATTGATAACAATATAAGGAAAATTGACAACACTATGAGGAACATTTGCAACGATACAAGGACAATTGGTAAAAATCTTCATGCTAGTTGATAGATGTGCGATAGCTGCTGGTAGATGCCAGATAGCAGCTGATGGATGCAAATAAGGATTATGTTAGTTTGAATTTATCCTTAGAAGATTGACACATCCGGTACACAAGAATGGATATCACAAACAGTAATTGTCTAGCTATGTAAGTATGGCTGCAACGCTGTGTTCAGTTGGCGCGCAAAATAAAATTCCCCAAAGTTAGCACTAATTGAGATTCTTATAAAGTGCGTTACTTGGATGCATGTTTTGTCCAGCAACTCTAGTGGTTGGGGAGTTCATGCATGCCACCAACACTAATTTTGTCTGGTTCTGTCCAGTATAATAATGCTGCAATATTGTCACTTGCCATTTGTGAATATGACTCTGTTGGTACAAACATGTTGTGGGTATTAGAATGGCATTGTTTGAATGTTCCTCACAATTGTATTGATTCTATATTTGTACTGCCTCTATGTTTGTACTGCGTCTATGTTTGTGATGCTCCTTTTTTGTACGGTGTCTATGTTTGCAATTCGTCTATGTTTGTACTGCGTCTATGTTTGTACTTTGCCGATGTTTGTACTGCGTCTATGATTCCATGGTGTCTATGTTTGTATGGTGTCTATGTTTGCATTGCGTCTATCTTGCATGTTGTCTATGTTTACATGGTGTCTATTTTTGCATGGTGTTTATGTTTGAATGGTGTCAATGTTTGTATGGTTGCTATGTTTGTATGTTTTCTTTTTTGTATGGTGTCTATGTTTGCATGATGTCTTTGTTTGTATGGTGCCTATGTTAGTACGGTCCCTATGTTTATATGGTGTCTATGTTTGTATGGTGTCTATGTTTGCATGGTGTCTATGTTTGTATGTGTCTATGTTTGCATGGTGTCTATGTGTGTATGGTGCCTTTGTTTGTATGGTGTCTATATTTGTTCGGTGTCTATATTGTATGGTGTCTATGTTTGTACAGTGTCTCTTTTTCTGTAGCTATTTTTGTATTGTCTCTATGTTTGAATGTTTTCTGTTTTTCTATGCCTTTCAGTCATAGGTATTATTTGGAAGATCTGTGCTATTTAAATGTACTTGTACTCCAGGAAACAATGGACCTTATCAACTGCTTCCTCATTGTATTTTTTTCTTACTTCCCCAAAAATTATACATATATATATATCTGTTAAATAACTTTAAAAAAACAATTTTTAACATTTATAAGTCTTTTTTCACGCATAAACATAACTTGTTGTACTATTGATTTTATTTTTAAACATTTTAATCAATGCAAGACTTCATTTCTCAAATTTAATGGGACAGAAAAGACATTTCCTCCGTTCAAGATTTAAAACTCCCATACTTAATTTGCTAGAACACAATTATTTTAACTTTAAAAATATATATATATATATATTTATTTTTTAAGGCAAGAAAATCTTAAATATTTGCACGGGCCGATTTCGTAGTCGTGGATTGCATACAGATTTGACACCCACTGTAAACAACTATTGGCATCTAGGACCGGAAACGGAGATAATCCAAGAACAACATATTTCTTTTGTCACGTGATACATTACCTCCCTTTATTCGCAGGCGTGCGACCCTAACCTCTAAATTCAGATTCGAAACTGACAAAAATTTTTTTTTTTTTTTAAATTAGAAATTTTAATCCGCTTTGTCCCCTCTCTTCTTCGTGTCAACGGCACCTCCGGCCGGAGAGTCCGCCATGACGTCTTTTCGCTCACCGGCCAGCTTTCAAGATGACAACGCGCCAATTAATTCACCCCATTGGCCTCCATTTCACGCCGACGGCCACACGGGGAGCAAACGTCCCGGCGTTTCCCCTGCTGGTATTGTCCCGTTTGTTTACTAGTATCAACTTTCTCGGTCTCCACGCCCTGGGTGCTGTCATTCTCTCGCTTATTGGAGTTATAGGATTAGAGCGTAGAAAGGGGGGGGGGGGAAATCAGGGACCCGGTATGGAATAATTCGTGCGCAACGCTAGGGTTGTTGGAGGCAGGAAACGGATGGAATACTATTTCTAACACGAAAACTTTTTTTAAAGAACTTTTATTCTTTGCATGGGATGTAAAGAAATTAAACTGCATTGGCATACAGCAAGAAACAAAATTATGTTATTTTGGCACACCTGTAAAAAAAAGTAAAAGCCACGGCACTCATGACGATACAATAATAATGCGTAACTCTTTAAAAATTATGAAAAGCAACATTTATAATTTTGACCAATGAAACATAAACAAAAAATTCAATTTGATTAAAAATGGTGTAATGGGTCAAAAGATGTACTACAAGAAGTGCAATTTTCATGTTTTGAGAGAGATTTTTTATTTTTATAATCAAAAAAGGATTCCAATTTAAAAATAATAAATTATTACAAAATCCCGGGTAGTTTCAGTTGCTCATTACCCAGGCATGAAACTGTACACTAGAACCAAGCGACTGTTTGCCGTCTGATGATGAGAGTCCCCTAATTGCCGAAAATCCCTGCACCAACACTTGGCGCCATCCCATATCAAAACCGCTGGTTATTGTACGGGGAGGGCGCTGGTTCTTGTACGGAAAGGGGGGGGGGCGTTTGCTGTTGTTTTCACACTTTCTTATGTTCCCCATTCCTCACTACCCTGCTCCCCCTTTTTTTTGACCCACCAAGCATACCAGAGATGAAAGTCTGTGTCATTAACTCAGATGCGACCTTACAAGTCAGCACGAGGAAGACTGAATCGACAGAGCGAAAGGGTTACAGGACAACAGAAAATTATGCGACCAGTGAAGTCCTTAGATATAAAACAAAATCTATTAATATAACTTATTTTGAGAAAAAATTGCATTTAAAGACGAGTTTAAAGGCATAAACATAAAAGTATAAAATAATTTACAATTTCTTAAATACATTTGCTCAAAAAAGACTGCGCAGAAGTGTAGATTAGCTCCTTATGCAGCCAAAGAAGGACTGTCCAAAAGTGTAGATGAGCTCCTAATGCAGCCAAAGGATTCGAAGTGAATGTAGACGAAACTTGAACGTTTTGAAAATATTTGCTTTACAAACTTTCTTTGCGTAATGCATTTTAATAAATTTTAAACAATTTTCTAATTTCTAGCGTGTTTAAACTCGTTTTTGATAGAAAAGTTTTTTTTTTTATTTTTTTTAAATTTTAATATTTTTTAAATTCTTAATTTTTTAGTGTGGAAATTGTCATCTTTAAATAATCACCATAAGTAGAATTATTTACTCTTTTAACATCAAATGCTTACAAAAATCCTGGTTAAAACGACTTAAAACTTTATCTGGCCATAAGACTAAAGAGCAGCTCTGAGTTTCCCTACCTCATTGCAGGCACAAAAGTCACAGGAAAAATGTCACCGAAAAGTTTTTATTAAAAGTAATTCATAATTTTATTGTCAAAAGTAACAAGTTGGTTTTTTTGTGATTGTTTTTTTAGTGAATTTTTGTCCTATTCATTTTTTTTCACGTGACTTAATGTCCTATGACTGTAATCCTAGCAAAACGTATGACTTTTTTTTCCCCCATGTCTTATTTTTTTCACTATGATTTTTCCGCTCAACCGCTTAACCACCCGTTCACTCAACGCAGCAGACGCGGTCAACCACGACAATTTGAGCGACAATGTCTACCCGCCACCGTCCACGAAGTATCGCCCGCTCCCTCTTGCCCACCCTTCTCCCGCCGTTCACTGAAAGAAGCAGGCGCGATAAACTATGATCAACTGAGCGATAGAGTCACGTGTGTGCAAAAAAAAGATTCGCTGGGAAAAAAAACAAAACAAAAAAATGGAAATGAGAGCACAGATAAAATCGTTAAAAAGAATAATTGGAACTTCAAATATTATTTAGATTGTAGGAATGTATCCTATTCCTATATCGTTCATCGAATTATTGGATCAAATATTTGTAACCACATTCTTTAGAAAGAAGTTTTTTGTTCTTTTTTCTTTTAAGAAAGGTTCTCAATCTCTGGTTAACCAAAAGGCCGCATACGAACAATCTCGATGATCCGTGTCACATCCTGTGTTTTGATATCATTTACCGGCTTCTCGTATCCATTAACCTGTCAGGTCAGTCGTTCACTTATCAGTGACACCAACCACCTGTCAGGTCAGTCGTTCACCTATTAGTGACACCGACCATCTTAAAGGTTAGCCGTACACCTATAAGTGACACCCACCACGTGTCAGTGTAGTAATTCACCTATTAGTAACACCAACCACCTTTCCTGTCAAGACAATCAAGTCTATTGGCAACACTTTTTATTTAAACTTCTATGACATCTGACTTACCATAAGATACCACTTTCTTTTTTTGAAAGGTTTACAACTATTTACAGATGACGTATTCTCCCCCCTCCCAACCTCCACCCAACCCCCACCCCTACCCCACCTCATCCTTTTACTTCTGCAACTGTGAGATGGTCACTCCTCAGACTGGCATGATTATTTAGCTAACAGCAGAGCGTCTCTGTTGATTGAATCGCTTCTAGAATTGCTGTGAAGCGTTGGGTCTGGGTGGGTGGAGGGGGGGTTCTGCCATGATGCGGAGAGTTACGATGACGCAGACGCATTTGTCAACAATAAAACTTGTACCTCGTTTTCATCCTGCCCCCCCCCCCCCCCCCCCCCCCNCTTTTAGGCTCGCGTTCTACCTGTTTGTTTTTCTGTTTTTTTTTTTGGTTTTTTTTTTTTGGTACCCTCTTTTAACATCCAAATGAAGAAAACTAATAGTGACATTTAAATGTGTGTTCAATAACATTTCATCTTGACTAGATTACGACCGTTTCCAAAAAAACAACAGTTGCGCCCCTTTCCGGCCCCGGGACTTCTCAACCAGTATAGAATTAGATTTTTATTTTGCCTGACATCCAAAAAACACTCTGAAGAAAAAAAAAAAAAAAAAGAAAAAAAACATTTGGGTTGTGATTTCTGCCAGATCCTGATTACATTTAGTGAGAGGATCGTTCTAGACACTTTCGATTTTGACTAGATATTTCTCCGTTGCTTTTCTGTAAGGTCTGACGGAAAGAATAAACGTTCTTTTTTCTGAAACCATCTGTCATCGAGAAAAATAATTGAGTGTTAAGGAGAGAATCCTCCTGTTTCTTATTCTTGTATGATGTGCGTAGCAAAAAGCCACAGATGTGCTGTGACAAAAGCCACCGATGTGCTGTAACAAAAGCCACAGATGTGCTGTAACAAAAGCAACAGATGTGCTGTAACAAAAGACACAGATGTGCTGTAACAAAAGACACAGATGTGCTGTAACAAAAGCAACAGATGTGCTGTAACAAAAGCAACAGATGTGCAGTAACAAAAGCCACAGATGTGCTGTAACAAAAGCCACCAATGTGCTGTAACAAAAGCCACCGATGTGATGTAACAAAAGCCACAGATGTGCTGTAACAAAAGCCACAGATGTGCTGTAACAAAAGCCACCAATGTGCTGTAACAAAAGCCACCGATGTGCTGTAACAAAAGCCACATATGTGCATTAACAATAGCCACAGATGTGCATTAACAATAGCCACAGATGAGCTTTAACAAAAGCCACAGATGTGCATTAACAATAGCCATAGATGTGCAGTAACAATAGCCACAGATGAGCTGTAACAAAAGCCACAGATGTGCATTAACAATAGCCACAGATGTGCTGTAACAAATGCCACCAATGTGCTGTAACAAAAGCCACAGATGTGCTGTAACAAAAGCCACCGATGTGCTGTAACAAAAGCCACAGATGTGCTGTAACAAAAGCCACAGATGTGCTGTAACAAAAGCCACAGATGTGCTGTAACAAAAGCCACAGATGTGCTGTAACAAAAGCCACCGATGTGCTGTAACAAAAGCCACCGATGTGCTGTAACAAAAGCCACAGATCTGCTGTAACAGAAGCCACAGATCTGCTGTAACAAAAGCCACCGATGTGCTGTAACCAAAGCCACCGATGTGCTGTAACAAAAGCCACCGATGTGCTGTAACAAAAGCCACCGATGTGCTGTAACAAAAACTACAGATCACATTCGGAGTTCATGACATGCTCGTTCCAAGTCAAAGGTTTGTTGCGTCGATTAATGTACATGCATTTTTAAATTATGTTTATTATATATTAATATTCTAAATCAACTCCCGCTTTTACACCGCAGATTAATTTCACCAATTATATTCAGAAAAACAAAAGAAAATATTACTCACCAAACGCACTTGCGATATTTAAAAAAAAAATAATAATCTCATTTAGCGCAGTTATCGGAAATTTAATTTCGTGAAATCAGTGGTATCATATTTATTTCATCTTCCCCTGGGAAAAAAAGGTAACATTTATTTTTGGATGTTTGTGGGTGGAGCTGAAAATTTGATAGAATGTGATGCCATCGGCTATGTGCAGTGTTTCGGCTCGATAGGTTGACGGGAAGTGGGTCAATTTGTCGTCCGAAGATTTTGTCAAACACCCGGCCAGAGACAAGCGCATGAACAAAAGCGAAGCTAACATAAACTATTATCAAAGACACATTATGAAGTAAAATAAAAAATACTTTCAAAATGTTCTTGCCCATTTTGTTTGCCTATGTATAACCCTTGAGAAAAGTCACATGTTATGCAGTCCCGTCCAAGTTAAAATTCCGAAGTGTGGCATGCATTCCTACGTCGCAAACTATGTGCAGTGATGTGTGAACCATAAACTAAACACCACGCACGGGTCACCACCCGTCCCCCCTAGTCTCATCCCACTGTAATCCGATTAGACCCTAACAATTCAATTTTGTTTAAAAGGCTGGCCAGTGTCGTCCACTTACGTCTCTCATTTCTTCTTCTTAAATAAGGGGATTTCCTTTCCGTGTCTGCATAATAAGTAAGTGCATTGAAACCCTCAAAGTTATGGAATTAAAAAAAAAAAAAAAAAACATTCCCCCCCCCCCCCCCCCCCCCATGTCATAAAATAATGTATTACATGAAAAAAGACGCAGACGAAATTATTGAAGCCCTTTGTGTTGTGTTACCCCATGTGGACGTTTTCAAACATCGCATAACATTATAGTATTGCAGTCTTAACGTTTTTATATTCTCAGTCTTCTGCCAATAGCATAGTCTACAACTGATGATGGGAAACTGAGACATTTGAACATACGCAGAGATAGGAATATCAAACATATGCAAATACAAATGGAAGCACCATTATAGAATCAAATTTACCACCCCGTGCTGTTTTTTAAATCTTTAAATAAAATTACGTCATGGACAAATTTTACGTTAGGAATATCATGCGTTTAAAAAACTGTTCACGTCCAGTTTTCCGAATCAAGCCGTACTGATCGCATACACACACACAATATAGTTTGTATTTTCGAATATCTGTTCGTCGTGTATCAATAAGTATTTCAACGCTACTTGTATTTCCTCAAAATATCTTTAAAGAATTTGTCATTCATGTTATTCTCATAGCAACCCAATAGTGGCATCTACCCCCATCAAAACATGTACGAGTAATAGTTATTCACCCATCATCTTCCATCACGACTCAACCACGCAACCCCTCTGCCCCCCCCCCCCCCCCCCGCACGGCCCATACATTCCAACCCTCCTCCCCCATCTCAGCAAAGTGCACGCTGGTCTGGGCGCAGGTGGGGATGTCAGTGCACAAAATGTCAGCTTTTGTTACTCGCATTTGGGGGCTGTTTTGGCAAGACCATTGTTTAAAAACACCAAGGAGCCGGGACGGAGAATTGTTTGACATCGGTGCAGGCCACACCTAACACACACACAAAAGCGGCATGCGTAGAGCGATGGCTTCGTCTAACTGCCGTACGGAGGGGGTTGCGAGATTCCCGAGTAGGTGTGGAGAAGAACGATGGGGGGAGTTCATAGTGTTGGGGATTAAAAAAATGTCAAACAATTGGGGGGGAATAACCAACATTATCCGACGGAAACCCACGGTGAATGGTCAATTTGCGCGCATCCAGCCAGTGTCATTGTCCGGCTGACAGCTACCTGATGATCGTGGTAAATGCATGTCATGGACCAGACCAATTTTTTCTATGGCCAGGTGTCAATGGCTTGTCTTGCCAGACTCACCATAAACAAGAAGACAATTAGGTGGGCACGATGTAAAAATAAGGTGAATGGGGGGGGGGGAAGGGGGGGGGCCACATCGGAAATGATAGAGTCTGTTGGGGCGGCCGAAAAAAAACTCAGGTTTGATGGAAATATGTCAGAACATTGGCGTAAATGCAACACTGANGCTGGGATGGGCAAGGGGGTGGCTTAAACTTTCTTACATGTTGAAATTTTATTAAACTTTAGGAAAAGGATTCCTAACCCTTTATTTATTTTACATTCATATCATTTAAAAAAAAAACAACAACTAAGTATCGTATCCACAACACAAGTAATAATGCATTTAAAAATTAAACCTAAAAAAAATAAACCTAATTCAAACAAAAAAAAAAAAAAAAAAGAGAACAAAAGAAATAAAACATTATTGAAAGAAAAAAATATAAATAAAAGTCTTTGTTTCACAACTTAAATGTCAATGATTCTGTTTTTATAATCGTATTTATTTGCCACCCCCCCCCCTCTTTTAAAAGGGATCCCTGCGTGAGGATGATGATTTATTAAAAGTATACAAAGTTATAGCTTTGGAACAGTTTCAACATTTTTTTTTGTTGAAAAAAACCACTAATTAACATCCATCTTTGTGGCGCTACAGACAGCCTATGTAGGGCTTTGGCCTGCCTCACGACTTCCTTCCACCTTGACCATCCATCTCTGTGGCGCTACAGCCTATGTACGGCTTTGGCCGGCCTCACGACTTCCTTCCACCTTGACCATCCATCCCTGTGGCGCTACAGCCTATGTACGGCTTTGGCCTGCCTCACGACTTCCTTCCACTCAGGCCTAACTGATGCTTTTCCTTGTATTCCCAACTGCTCTAGATACTTCTCCACATCATTCCTCCACCTAAGCCCAGGCTTGCCTAATGAATAGCTCAGTTATATCTTATTTTAACACGTGCTTTTGACTTTTGGCTATCTTTCGGAGAGATCCAAAAAGAATATTCAAAGACGCCCAGAGACCTGTACACATGTTTTATACATGTCGTACATGATTTATCTTTTTATAAATCATCATAGGTCAATTCATAAAGAGAAAAGGGCCTTTATTTTCAGGCCCTAAATCCTAACAGCTCCGCCGCTGATATGAAACCAGCCCCCCCCCCTGCCCTCTGCATTTTTCAACACGGATCGGGGGTGGGGGGGAGGGGTGGCTGTTGCGCCAAGTAGGACAAGCCGCCAAATATTAACATTACGAGATGGAGATATTTGTGATCGCGGTCCTGGGTTCCCAGGCCCTGTTAGTGGTGTGGGAGCCCGTGTGTCAGCGGACGTCCCGGTAAATAATGAAAACGTCAGCGCCGCTGCCAAAACTTCACTCTGGAAGACGTATTGGGAAGGATGTCGTAAATGACTGATCTCGGCGCGTGTCGACTTATGTTTAGGCGGGACACACGCGGGTAACTGTTATGGCCCTGTTGTCTTCCCGTTTCGCCCTATGCCTCATCTATTTTGGTCTCTTTCGAAAAAGACAATTTATTATTAATGCGAAATGTGTTGTGTTTTGTTAAACGTATCCAACCATTCTAAAAGCGAGATTTAATAGGACCAATTTTTTGTTGTTGTTGAACTCTTAGATATTCGATGCCCGGCACATAACCAATGTTTATCAAATTTTTTATTTTTTATACTATAACATGTTATAACCAAGCTCACGAAGTTCTAACCCCCCCCCCCACCCCCCACCCCCAAAACCGGACGTATATTTTGAGGTCCCACGATCATTGAACATTCTGATCATCCAAATTTAGGTCGAACTGAAACAACTGTGGAATATCAGATCGATTTGTTCTTTGACCGGTGAATGTTCGAAGAGTGTCGTAGAAAATGACTGACACCTGTCCAAGTATAAGTCTACTGTCTATTAAGAAAATGAATGACGTTAGATGGCCATGGGCGTGCCAATGAAGAAACGAGGCCTTATAACATACGTGTTTATTGATGTATTAAGATGACGACCATTATGAGCTACATACCGACTTCCGGGTTCTCGAGACAGTAGTCCGGGGAAGCCTCGAGGTAAACCAGATCAGACCGGGTCGGTTTCTTGTGGTACTTGTTGGCCACGATCAGACTCGCCCCGTTCTGCTCCATCATCACCTGAGTGGCACCGTTGTATCGAGTCTTGAGGTGGGAGCCGACGAGACGAAACTCCTGCATGGCCAGCCAGCACGTGCGTATTGTGCAGGAGCCGCTGACCCCGTGACACTTGCACTCTAACCTCCTGAATTTTTTGACAGCCTGACACCAAAAAAATTTTTTTTTAAATAAAAAAATAATAATAATAAAGTACTTGCATCATGTTTGAAAAACAGAGTACAAAAATTAGCCAATTATGATATGTTCACATTTGTACACGTTTGAATGTCACCAAGATTACTGCCCATGACAGGACTAAATAGCAAACCCATGGTGAAAAAACCCGTGAAAGGCACAGGCATATTTGTAGCATGATAACAGAAAAGTTCTGCAAAACAGAAAAAAAAAAACAGACCTCTAAAACAGCTTCTACCGTAGCAGCCGACAGAGAGAATAATTGTTCTTTGGTATTTGCCTCTGGCACCATCTAGTCATCGTGGCTCCCTCGCAAACCCAACAAACAATTTTCCCACTAGCGCACAAGCAGATCATCCAGCAACCAGACACACCCTCCCAGCAACCCATACACAAATTCTCCACCCACCCCCACCCACCAATCACTCGTCTCAAACGACCAACCTGCCTATCTTCAACCCCAACCCACGTATCCCTCTTTCCACTTCTGTCACCTTCAGGACACCATTTCCTATTCTGCCTCGCGACTGACTCACCCTCCTGCCGGCCCGGTTGTTGTGGAGGTTCATCAGAGCCCGTCCGTCCCTCTGCTTCCCTTCCCGCGCGTCGATGAACATCCGGGTGAAGGTCGTCCCGTACTGGACGTTGTCCGAGCAGCCTCCCCAGTCGAAGACCCCTCTCTTATCTCTGCTGGACCCCTTTTTGGTGGGATCGCAGGCGCAGTTACTGAGCTGACCCCTGCTACACGCCCTGGTGATTGCGTGGACGACCCCAGCAGACGTAATGGCGTAAATAAAAGCAGCTTCCCTGCTTCCTGTGGTAAGAGAGGAAGGAAGGATTCGTCACATTTAAAAGATTATACACCCAAGTATCATCTCAAGTATCATACAATTCTTTTAATCAAAAAGAACCAAAAACATTGTCCTTTTTCAAAATGCCACTGTTTAAATATAAATATCATAATTTTTAAAATATTGTTTTGTATTAATGAAAAATTGCTTAAAGATTCAAAACAAATAAAAACAAATAATGGTCTACTTTGGGAAGACATTCTATTTAACAAGTCGAAATTGAAATGTTTAGTTGTTGGTTTGGTTTTTTTTGTTGGTGTTTTTTTTTTTTTTTCATCTGGAGTTTGCTGATTTTCGGTGCTGCTGATAAAGTGGAGTACTTAACATTTGGACCTTTCTTTAAACTTAAGCTAATTCTTCCCACTGTTCTGATTGGACGCTTCTGTCTACTTTGGGAAGACATTCTATTTAACAAGTCGAAATTGAAATGTTTAGTTGTTGGTTTGGTTTTTTTTGTTGGTGTTTTTTTTTTTTTTCATCTGGAGTTTGCTGATTTTCGGTGCTGCTGATAAAGTGGAGTACTTAACATTTGGACCTTTCTTTAAACTTAAGCTAATTCTTCCCACTGTTCTGATTGGACGCTTCATGGCCCAATAAAAAATAAACAAAATTTTATTGCTGCAAAAACACGTTAAAAAATAAAAAAATAAATAACAAATCTTCAATAAAACCCTATGTCAAGTGTCCCCACGATGGAAAAGAAATGCGGATTTACATTGAATAAAGCAACACAGACACTCCAAAAACACCACCATAGCCATTACGGTGTTTACCTCTAAGCATCATCTTGCCAAACAAGGAAGTGTCTCGGCTCATGGTGGAGCAGTTCCAGCGCTGGTCCCGGAAGTGATATTGGCACTCCTCAACGCCCAGCCTGGCCCCTTCCCCTAGGGACACCATGACGTCGGGGTGGTGACGACATAGCTTCCTCTGGCGACCCACCAGACCAGGAATGTTGTCACAGAGGACACCGGACCCATGGTGATGGATGTTCAACTGACTGACAAACCTGGGGGCAATTTCAAAGCAAATCACGATTTATAATGTAAACAAAAAAATATTTTGTTGTGTTTTAACCCATAACATCCCACTTGGCGTGGCCGTTGTACGTCTGTTTAACGTATTTTGGGGCTCCTTTCAATCAACCGCTAAATTTTGCAAAAAATTAAATTCATCTCGTGTAGCATTTTATGTATACAGTTTTTTTTTTGTGGACAAACATAAGCCACGTGATGCTATCACGTGATACTATTTCAGCCACGTTAATACTATTTCAGCCACTTCATACAATTTCAGCCACGTGAAACTATTTCAGCCACGTCACACAATTTCAGCCACGTCACACTATTTCAGCCACGTCATATTATTTAAAGATTTTGACGCTTAAAGACACGGTTGAATATTACATATTGTTCGCCATTAGTTTATGAACCTTACTATGCAAAACATCATATCTTATAAAGGTTACAATGGGGGGGGGGAAAAAACTTTCTTTTTTGGGGGGGGGTGTTGTGGTGGGGGGACAA